CAGCCGACTCTTTCTCTGCACAAACCAAAGTCGAAATCAATTTCACTCCAAATACCACTCTACTCTTTCATTCTTGATTCACAACAAAACCTCATTTCTTCCCTGCCTTGACCGAGAGCACCGAGAGAGGGAGAGAGCTGCCGGAAACTTCTTGGATTCAGCCGTGAGTTGGAGCAAAGCCAGGGAAGGGAATCTGCCGGAAGCTTCACCAATTCTACCTTCATCCACAACCCTTTTCAGCCGCAACTCCAAACCAGAATCACCATCTGCACTTGGCCGAGAGCTAGGAAGGAAATTTCTGGAATTTCGTGTGAAAGATTGGTTGCTAGCTGAGGTAATTTCTGGTCTAAAATAGGTTGATTATTAGTTGATCAAGCTATATCAGAGATTACATGTTTAGATTATACAATCGGATGCTGAAATCAAAACCTTAGGAAAATTTCTGTTTTGAGAAATTGTTGCTACCGAGACTTGAGGTGTTATTGCAGCTCCAATTTTGTTTTGTGTGATAATCTGAACACCCAAATGTCTTTAGCTGAGTAAGAACTGGAAGATTAAGACCATGTATGATGAATTGGGCATTCGAATGAAGTGTTAAAGCAGAGATAAATTTCTGGGTTAGTTTGGGGTAAGAAAATTCTGCCGAGAGCCTAGCTTAATTATTACAGCTTAACTTGGTTCAATTTGGTTGCTATCAAACTGATTTCTGGTCTGGATATAATAGCTAGTTAAATTCAGCAGTTGTGCATGTGAAATTAAGTGCAAAATACAGGAATAAACCGTAGAAAAAAATGGTTTGTGACTAAACAAATGCTGGAAGAATTTCTGGTTTGGCCGAGAGCTTAGCTTAAAGCTTTGCAACCTGATTTGGTTTAGTGTTGTTGTTTAAACTTATAACCATGATTAGATGACTAATAACAAGTTAATTAGGCCCTGCATGTAGTTGATTAGTAAGTTTTAAATCAGAGAAATAAAGGTTAAGAGTACATTCTGCTTCAAGGCATGATCATCCGAGCCCAAGCAGGAAAATTTCTGGAAATTTTGATGTTAATAATGATAGTTTGAACTCAATTTTGAAAGTGGAAAATTTTAGTAACTAGCTAGGGGTTTAAAATGTTGAAATTGAGTAACTAACACCATGTTTAAACCAAGGAAATTTGAACTAAAGTTGAATTGTTTGCTGGAAAATCTTTGAAGCCGCAAGCAAGGTTGAACCAGAAATTTCAGTTTGCCTTTAGAAAGTTTAAATGGTTTTCGAACATTTATTTTATTGTTTCCTTGGACTATGATGGTCTTGAGCTACATAAGAGATGCAAAATTTAAGTGGTTTGGCGAGGAAATATTTAATATATTGAAGGATTGAATTAAAGAGGTTAGTATACAAATGCTGGAATTTCCTTTGTGATGGCCGAAGGTTGAGTTGGAAGCTCAACTTAGTTTCGAAAATTTTCTTCAAATCATGAGGGATGGAAATGCCTGGAATATGTTGTTTTGGAATTATATAAGAAATGTATGGATGGTTTGAATAAAAACATTTTGGTGCAAAAAGAGAAAAAGGAGTTTTTCACATGTGAAAAATGACATTTCAGATTTTTGGATGTCCCTGACCAATTTCAGTAAAATGCTTATATCTTGGTGTAGAAAAATCCGTTTAAGGTGCCGTCAGTGGCATTTGAAACTAGAAACATGGGCCTTGGTTCTGTAGAAATTTTATATTTTTCCTCCATGTGTACGGCTGTACGTGACTCCTCAAAGTAGGCTGTCTTGACTTAATGTCCTGTTTCTTCAGGAAAATGAATTTTGACTTGAATCGAATGTTGGGCCTATCTGTGATTTGAATTTCTGAATTTCAAGTGAAGCTTACATGCTAAAATTTTCTGGTATGTGAATGGCATTGAGCCTAGTAAAATGCTATGGTGGTAATCTGAATTTCTCGAGTTATTTAAGCGTTAAATTAGCCGTGACTTTACTCCTTGTTTCTAGTTGAAATTTTGGTTTGAAAGTGATTGGTTGCTATCAAGAGCTAATGATTGATGAAGCTCTTGGCCATTTGAATGATTTTCTAAGTACTACAGGGTGACGAAAGTTAATTGCTGGAATGTCTTGGAGGCTTTACCTTTATTTTATTTTTAGTTGCTTATGATGGGCTTGCTGAAACCAAGTGCTAATGATTGATGAAGCCTTGGTTGATCATTTTATTTTATTCAGAAATGCACTTGTTGAAATCTAGGGCTAATGATTGACGAAACCCTAGTAATTTGCTATGTGATTTTTGTCATATTTTGATCCATATTATAATTTCGAAACGGAATCGGAGATGTGGAAGTTGTATCGACCTTGCGAACTCGAGTAGCTGTGATCAAATTAATCAAAAATATTTTCCAGCTAGTATTATATTATAAAACTCCATATCTAGTGTTTTGCCTAAAACTTTCCAACTCGATAATTTCCTTTAGCTCAAACTAGCCTTGATAGCTATAGCAAATAAGTTCTATAGCTTTTGGAAACTCTAAGTCTTATGATTAATTCTTTTTCTTTCTTTAAGCTTTGCACTTGGATAGTTAACTATAGGAAAAGTTCCAAAATATGAGCTTTACTAATTTTAGTGAAAAGCTTGGGAGACTTGCTCGGCAAGAAACCCTATTTTTTTTAGAAAAATAGTCTTTAAGGATAATTTTTGCAAAAGCTGTAACTTTAGAGAAATGTTCAAAGTAACTTTCTAACATTGTTGTTAAGAGATTTATCGACTTATTTCAAGAAAATAATACTAGTTACCCTTTTGTAAGGATAAGTATCTTAAGGAAAACTATAATAAACATTTCTTCTAAGTTTGTCAAGTTTCAACCTAAGGAGATTCCTAATTTTTTCTAAAGGTAGTAAACTAGTAGTATATTAAGGATACCTCAACTTGTATAAGCTTAGAAACTGAATACAAACTTATAGTTTCAATATTTGGTATTTAGGATTTTGCGAGGACGCGGGATTCGATTCTCAACTTGATATCTGAACTCCACTCTTGGTGAGTGTCCCTGCTTGTTTTATGCCTACGTGGTTAAGTGCTTTATCAACTCACTATGTGATAATTGTCAAAATGCAATAAATGGTTTCTGATCCATCGAAGTGAGCAGTGTATACTTTATTGCACTAGCCGTTCGAGTGGTGACTTGTGTGAAACATTTTCTAATGAATCCGTGAATCTAGACGTAAAGTCGTTGGGTGAATCCCTCGACGAGTCAATAATAATGAATCAAGTGCTAGACGTAAAGTCGTTGGGTGAATCCCTCGACGAGTCAATAATAATGAATCAAGTGCTAGACGTAAAGTCGTTGGGTGAATCCCTCGACGAGTCAATAATAATATTAAATCAAGTGCTAGACGTAAAGTCGTTGGGTGAATCCCTCGACGAGTCAATAATAATATTAAATCAAGTGCTAGACGTAAAGTCGTTGGGTGAATCCCTCGACGAGTGAATAATAATATTAAATCAAGTGCTAGACGTAAAGTCGTTGGGTGAATCCCTCGACGAGTCAATAATAATAAATCAAGTGCTAGACGTAAAGTCGTTGGGTGAATCCCTCGACGAGTCTATAAAAAAATAAGTGTTGGACGTAAAGTCGTTGGGTGAATCCCTCGACCAGTCTAAGGTACACTCGGGTATTATCACCTTCCTATTTGTTTACTTCAGTCGAATCAATAAGTGTTAATTGTTTTAATTGATTGCATGTTTTTGGGGCACCACTGAGCTTTAGCTCACCCCACGTTTATTATTTTCCTTAACAGGTTCTGGATACTGAAAGCAGGATGCTTATTTATGTTTTTCTTTTGGATTGTATTTGAATATTATAACTTGTTATGTGGACTGTAATATGTTATTAGAGATAATGCACTTTTCCTTTGGATTGCCACTTGAAGCTGGAAAATGTGTAACCGTAATTCGATTACTTGGCTTGTAAGTTGTATTATGGATCTATGCTTTTATCTATCCGGTTCGTGATGACTTTGTACTTTGGTAAGTAGCACATAGGACGTTTAAGAGCCTCGACTGGCGATTTTATCATCGCTATCTTTGAAGATAATGTGGCTTTAAGGATGATTCCATTCGAGAAAACTTGTTTTTGTAATAAATTAAGTTATCCTTCGAAAGGTTCGGGTTAGATTGCTCGCGTGAGTCCTGGCGAGAGTTGGGCAGACGGCCCGCCAACCCTTTGGTTCGCCTCAGGGGGAAGTGGGGTCGCCACAATTTGCTGCCGACAGTAGTGTAGAATATCTGGATATCTCTATGAGGTGAGGGCTGCTTGTTTGAGCCGCCTCGTCATTTATTACGCCTTCCTTTTCTAGTCGAGTCCACCTCTTCATGATGCAGTTTGGAGGGATCCTTTTTAGTTCCTCGAATAGCATTGCACGAAACATGCGACAACAAGGCAGCCCATGTGTTTCCATTTTCAAGCAGGAGCACTTCATATGCCCCGTGGATCTATTATACATCACAGTATAATACGAGTAATTGTACGGATGCTTCATGAAGTGGACAACGGTGATTCCATCATCCGTGCCATTAATCCTACAAAATAGCCCCTGCTTCTTCATTTCCTCCCATACCACAATGAAAGTTGACCTAATAAACACTTCACCACCATGTTTTTTCAGTGCCTGTAGATGTGTCACTTCAACAAGGGTACTGTGCTCTGTCACAGCCCTTTAACGCCTCTCTTCATGTCCCAAACGGCCCACGGCCAAGTCATATGTTTGAAGGCACTCAAAAAGTTTCAACTTCGGGGTGAGATGTAATGTTAAAACTTGATGCATTTTTTCATACTGTCGGATACTCCGCACTCTCCAAAAAAGTTGCCTCTTAGAAAAGCCATAGCCCACAGCTCCCTATTTCGGTACATTTTCTTAACCCATTCGTTATTTTCAAGTCCAAAACGTCTCACAACCCCTACCCACCTCGTTTCAAAATGTATCGCTGTACAATTCATAAACATGCAGGTCTTGAATGTCTACAGGAACTCTTTGTCCCTTACATTTGTGGCTGCATTCATTTCCAAATGAAAGCTGCAAAGTCTATGCTTAGCTGTAAGCATCAAATTTTTAATGCACTTTCGCATTGACTTGTCCCCATCTATCACAACTGCTATCGGTTTCCTCCCATGCATTGCTTCTAAGAATGTACTTATAACCCAATTGTATCCCTTATCTCCTTCATGAACGATAAAAGTACATGCAAAGATACGTGTGGAATAGTGATTGTTAACCCCACACAACACAACCAATGGAAATCTGTACTGGTTTGTACTATACGTGCTGTCAAACACCAGCACATCACCAAAATATCTATAGTCGTCTCTACACACTGAATCAGCCCAAAGCAGGCGATTCAGATGGCCATGGGCATCTACAGAATATTTGAAAAATAAATTCGGATCACCTCGTTGCTTGCCTAACAAGAATGCAATTGCCGAATCGCTGTCCCCATCACCAACTGCTACCTGCCTCTCTCGATTTAGCGCATTGTACATATCAGTTTCATGAAAGCCCAAGTTGTGGTATCCTCTAGCCTGTACAGCTAGTAGTCTCATAATATGACTTGTTCTTATGCCTGCTTGTTGCATAACTACTGCCTGTTGCAGGTCCGACTTCCCAACCTTTCTATGAGGCCTCATGAAACTAACACATTCAGGACTGCACAAAACGATGGCATTGTGCACTAACAAATTCTACAACAACGTACTTCTGTTTCGCCTCTTCGAATCGAATCTTCAAACGTGCTTGACACTTCACTCTTGTTACTACATTCGGTTCCCTTATTCGATCGACTCTGTTCAGGTGCTTTTCAAGTCTTTCGCCTTCCTTATTACAAAGCCATGACCTCACTCGGACATACCCTTTCTTATCTTTTCTCTTGCACCCTTTTCGCACCCAAAATCGGTAGCTCTTGCATACATTATATAGAATGATTCTGCCTCTTCAGTACTCTCAAACTTCAGTACTCTCAAACTCCATGCTACCTATATCTATATCATCAATACGTTCGAATGCAGCGTTTACATTTGCGCCATCTTCACCAACATGCTCTCCTACAGTCCCCTACCCTCTTATTCCTTCTGTTCTGCAATTCGTTGTTGAATGGACAATTTTTAATTTGTTAGCACTTTCTTCCACTTCGGCATGCGCGGCAACATACCGTCTGCTGGATGGATGCCCTTCCACCATTTCTATTTGCAGCCCCGATGTTACCTAGCATTCAAACACACTGTATACCATGTCGCCATTTGACTCAGTGACGGCAAATGACCTCAGAAACCTAAAATAAGGGATGAAAATAATCATTCAATGCCATCATAGGTGACGAACAATTTTCTGATGTACACAATGTTCTTGCAGGTAAATATTATTACATGATAATCCCCTCAAAGTGGGGTAAAGATGCCCTTTGTGACAATCAATGTAGGTTACACAACAGATAACTTCATCTTTACAATCTTGTTCTTGTAATTTCATGATGAAATATGACACAGAATTTTTGTCGAACATAAACGGAATCGCAACATAAAGACATACCAATACGCTTCCTCATTTGATACTCTCCACTGCTGCCTTCTATCCACAAGAAGCCACGCCGCAGAGGGGAATACGACACACTTCCAATACCTCGTTCTCTGCACAGTGTTTCCATTCACATTTGCAGGTATTAATTAATTACAAAGCAAATCTCCGGAAAATACGAAAAACAACCAACGCACTTTTGTCGCACTGTTGAAGAACACAATTGATGTTCAATACTGCAGTGTCACTGTACCTCGACTAACTTTGTTGGAGATTCACAACAAATGACGGTGAGGCTATGTACAAATTTTTCCTCGATTCAGTCCTGTTTTGGGGGTACACTGAAAGTAAACAAGCTATAGTGCCCAGAGTCCATTACCTTTATTTCTGGCTTAGTTTTCCAAAGCAGTTGTGGCGCTTCTTTTTTTGCCCCTCTGTTCTTCACAATTTGTTATTCACTATATGTACAAACGTGCATGACGTATGAGCAGAGTGGCAATAATTAAAATAATATTTTTTCGATGTATACATATTTCATTCCTTTTTTTTTTGCATTTAAACAAAATGAATGAAAATCTTTTACAAAAAAGCACATAAGTTAAAAGTAATGGTCTAAAAGGGAAAAGAATAGCAGATACGTATAGTACTTGTAGCTCATGTTCGAAGGACTATAGTGCTGTTTTTTGAAAAATACCCTGAAAAATTTCTAATCCAAACGGAACCGATTCTTCATTATTTAAAATGTCAAATCTGCGATTGTGTTTTAATTGTTATCCATTGGTATCGTAAAGTATCATTTTCCCATCAAATACCACTTCTTTAATACCCATTTTTCCATAAATAAATTTGTTTTATCGGATAAAATACATACAAATTCGTTTCTCAATAAAACACTAACTCTTTATGGCTTTCCTCTATTATAAGAACAGAGTACCCATATTTCCATAAACAAATTTATTTATCGGATAAAATAAAAATAAATCCATTTTTCAATAAAACACTAACTCTTTATGACTTTCCTCCATTATAAAAGTAGAGTACCCATTTTCGAGTGAATTAATATCTATAATCAGTTATTATGTAGGTATATTACCAGTACTTACCCCCATGAGGTACTTGCAGCCTTAATGACTAATAAAACCTCTTATCATTAATTAATATAAACTTCAAAATATTAGTTTGAGAACAGTTTTTAATGTAAAACTATACATGTATTGCAAAAATCAGTAAGTGTTAATCGTCAATAAAATTTACCATGTTACTACTAAGATTTAGTATCAATGAATAAAAACCTAATGTTAGTTGAAGTAAACGTACTCTCCAATAGTTTAAAGTATGACAAAATTTGTAGATCACTTAAGAATTGCATTTCTGTGGAAGATGGATCTTAAAATAATAATAAAGATTTTTATTACAAAACGAATGATATATGGATACAAATGAATGTTTTGAGCAGTTCATACTATCAAAAAATGTTCAGTGATACCTGTATTTTTTTGAAGTGAATTTGCTAAACCTTTTTAAAACATTTTAGTGCAATCACCATAATGTAAAATTCGTTTTGTGATCAGTTATTTTTTCCTTTGTAATCTTGCAAGTTTGGAATTAAGTTGCCATTGAAATCATGTTTGGAGCCAATAGGGGCTAATAGGGGACATAGCTCCCCCCTCCCCCAAGTTTTACAAATTGTAATTCATATTGTGTAAAAACGAAGTAAGCCCTCCTAATTTTTATAATTTTAGTTTATATTATAAGAATGTATATATATATATATATATATATATATATATATATATGTGCGTGTGTCTTTGTGTGAATTAACTACTTTCGAATTAATTTTTTCTTAAAAAGTTATTTATTTTTTACATCTCTTTATAATTAAAATTAATATTTGATTTTTTTAAATGTCATATATTTAAATAGATGAAAATTATTTTCAACATAACACATAAAAATAATTTCATGATACTACAAAAACGTATTCAGTGAGACCTGTATTTCTTAGAAGTGAACTTGTTGAACCTTCATCAAATATTTGAGTGGGATCACCATAGTATAAATTCATTTTATGATTAGTTGTTTTCTCCTTTGTAATCTTGCTGATATGAAATTAAGATGCCATTGAGTTCAATGATGGAACCAATAGGGACTAATGGGGCAATAGCTCCATTCTCCCCCAAATTTTAAAAATTTTGTCTCACATTTGTAATTATTTGTATAAAACGAAGTTAGCCTTCCTAAGTTTTTACAATTTTAGCCCCTCTAGAAAAATTTTAGGCCCTCTAGAAAAAAAATTCTTGGCTTTGTCACTGACTGAAATGTTTGTAATTGAGATTTATCCATGGTGAATGTATGCTACATAATTTTTTCACTGTATTGCATTTATATGATGCCATCTGAAATGGGTCAATTGGATTAGTGAGCATCAGTTTTGTGAATGATTATGAGAGTAAACTATATTATGACAATAAAATACGTTGAATTGTGAAAATTATAATTTAAACATGCTCCTAAATTTTGGACATGTGACTTTTGTAATTGCGAATTTCTTAAATTAACAGTTAGTTATTACTATGAGTCATGTGGTAAGTGTGAGATATGAATGTCAGTAATAACTGTTACTTATTGTTATCAGTAAAGTCAGCAGTAAATGTGAGACGTTAATTGGAATTTGCAGATATCATTTTACATGGGTGGTCATTAACTGTTAGTTAAAATTTAGGAGTTTTAATTCTATGGGTTAGTGGGGAAAACGTGAGAGAAATGTGGCAAAAACATGACCATGATTATACGATTTGTATGAGCAGTTATAGGATTAGTTGTGAGATAAAAATTTCTTAATTTTAGAAATGTAAAATTCTAATAAAATAGTATTAAAACTTTTGACAATTTGGAAAGCTCCTTATCCAAAATTCCCTCTGCAATACATATACATAGATATAGATGTCTGTTTTTTAGTGGTTAAATCTCATATTCGTGAACTATCTGCAGAAAAAAATAAAATTCTAGACTATACTAATTTTGTTATACCAACTCTACTATTCTTATTATTGCATTAATTGTTATGCTATTTCTCCAATTTTGTTAGGTCTACATTAATACAATTTTAATTCTTATTATGTCTCGTGTCCCAGAAAATACATATTATCCCATTCAGGTGGATACGTCCAACAGATAATCAAATTGATGCTAAAAATTTAGAATGAATAAGTTGCTTTTGCATAACAGTTGCAAAGGTTTCTTCAGACTTTACGAATTAGGTGTCTTGCGTTTGCAAAAAGAATGTCTAGCATATTTTTGTATTGGAAATGGAGTTAAAACTTGCTATAGGTTACTTTCCTGTATTTCAATTTTATCCTAAAGGGTAATTTGCTGTTCAACCTAATTTTATTTTGATTTTATCCAACTAATAAATTAATTTATGAAAATAGATAATTTATGGAGGAAAGCCATAAGTAGCTGGTGCTTTATTGAAAAATGAATTTATTTTTATTTTATCCAATAAATAAATTTGTTTATGAAAAATGGATACTCTGTTCTTATAATGGAGGAAAGCCATAAAGAGCTAATGTTTTATTGGAAGGCAGATTTTTTTTATCCGATAAATAATTTGTTTTTGAAAAAATGGGTATTCTGTTATTATAATAGAGGAAAGTCATAAAGAGCTACTGTTTTATTGAAAAATGTGTTTATTTTTATTTTATCCGATAAATAAATTTATTTATGAGAAAATGGATACTTTGTTCTTATAATAGAGAAAAGTCATAAAGATCTAATGTTTTATTGAAAAACGGGTTTATTTTATTTTTATCCGATAAATAAATTCTTTTACAAAAAAATGGGTACTCTGTTCTTATAATGGAGTAAGTCATAAAGAGATAGTGTTTTATTAGAAAATGGGTTTATTTTTATTTTATTCAATAAATAAATTTTTTTATGGGAAAATGGGTACTCTGTTCTTATAATGGAGGAAAACCTTAAAGAACTATTGTTTTATTGGAAAACGGATTTATTTTTATTTTATCCGATAAATAAATTTTTCTATGCAAAAATGGGTACTCTGTTCTTATAATGGAAGAAAGCCATAAAGAAATAGTGTTTTATTGAAAAACGGGTTCATTTTTATTTTATCCGACAAATAAATTTTTTTAAGGAAAAATGGGTACTCTGTTCTTATAATAGAGGAAAGTTATAAAGAGCTAGTGTTTTATTGCAAAACTGGTTTATTTTTATTTTATGCAATATATAAAATTTTTTAAGGGAAAATGGGTGTTAAAGAGGTGATATTTGATGGAAAAATGATACTTTAGGATACCAATGGATAACATTTAAAACACAATCACAGATTTGGTATTTTAAATAATGAAGAATCGGTTCCGTTTCGATTACATATTTTTTGGGGTATTTTTCAAAAACAGCACTGTAGTCCTTCGAATGTGAAATACAAGTACTGTACATATCTGCTATTCCTTTCCCTTTTAGACTAATCCTTTTGACTTATGTGCTTTCTGATAAAAAATTTTCATTATTTTTTTTAAATGCAAAAAACAAATTAATGCTGTATAAATCGAAAAAATTACTATTTCAATTATTGCCACTTTGCTCATACTTTGGAGGATTGGTAAGAAAGCCATGAAGAGGTGGTATTTTTATTAATGAAAACTTTTTCCGTAAATGGCCTGCTTTTTATAACTTTCCTTTATTATATGTTAAACTACCAGTTTTTAACCAGCATTTTACATTTATTTATTTAGTACTTTAAACAATGATATTCAGCTGTATCTTTCCCTTTCAAACCAACTATTTTGACTTGTTGATTTTTGTACTCTGTACAACAAAAATTTCGTTTACTTTTTTTTTTTAAACTGCAACAAAAAAAGTTTAATTATGTATAAATTTCAAAAATACTAATTTATTCACATACGATCAAGTATTTATACAAGTATATTAACAGTACTTACTAAGTAAGGTATTCAATTTTAATCATTAATAAAACATTTTAGTGTTATTTCAAATAACAATAAAATATGGCCTTGGCATAAGTTTTTTAAGCATAATAGAATATTTTTACCATAAATTAGCATAGTTTTGTCATTAATCAAATTTACTATGTTATAAGTAAATATGATT